ATTTTTTTTTTGGTTTTTCTCCGGTACCGGGAACCGAACTCACGACCTTGCGCTTGCCAGGCAGGCGCTTTTGCCGCTGAGCTAAATCCCCAGCCCCTAAAATGAGCCTTTTTGATTCAATATATTTTCACAGTTCAAACCCTCCATGTATGAAGTGCCAGAAACTTCATTCCTACTTGGAAGTTATGTGATCAGAAGGGTAAAAAAGGCTCACCAACCAACCAATCTTTCTGACATTTTACCAAAACTAAAAAGATAGCTATTTGGTTAAGAACTGAATTAAAATAGAAAGTATACTGCCAGGGAAGGATAACAAGCCATTCAGCTGGACTAACTTCCCTCAAAATATTCCCAGGTTAAAAATCCCTGTTCAGATAGCCCTGAGTTTCCAACCTTCCACAGTGTGAGACTTCAGTTCTGGCCATGCCTCCTTGTACGATTACAGCCCTGGCCTGAATGCTCCTCTCCGAAGAACCAAATGTCCAAAACTGCTTGCCAGTTACTGTGTGCTACTGTGAATGAGGCGGCAGTGGTGGGAGAAATAAACACTAAGACCCAAAGTTCAACATTTTAAATGAATTGAAGCTGCTGAGCTGCACAGGTACTTATAAAGAGAAAGCTGTAACGGCTCATTGGGAACACCTCTTCTGCTGATGATTCCCATGGAGTAGCACCATCAGAGGTGCATTTCTTACTACCTGCCTCACAGACCCACCATGAGAAAAGGATAAAAAAAGACAATTCACTTTTATGGAAGGATAAAAGTGCCAGAAACTTAGCAGGAAGTAAAATTTGATAATTTTACTTGATAAAATTACTTGATTTTACTTGATAAAATTTTACTTGATAAAATTACTTGATTAAAAATACTTGATAAAACTACTTGATTTTACTTGATAAAATTACTTGATAAAAGTACTTGATAACAGGCAATAGCAATTCATAATTGCTTTACATTCATGAACTAATTTTATTTCCATGATAATTTTATGAAATGGACATTATTATATCCATTCTATAGAAAGTAAAACCGAGGTGTGGAGATTTTAAGCATAGTAAGGCCAAACACTATTATATACAGCTCTGGGATCAGGACATAGGACCACTGGCTCCAAGCATCCTTCATTCCTCTGTCCACTCCTCACATCTCAAAACATCTCCATGTGTGATTGGTATTCACTGCCTCTCTGCCCAGAAGAAAGGCGAGAATGCAAAACTGGAGAATATATATCTGGAAATTCAGGTAGCTAAAGGGACAAGGGTGTTTAAAATAATTCTAATGAGAGCACCTGGATACCCATGGGGCAACATGAAACTCGTGAGATACTCAAGAAAAAAACTGCAAGTTAAAATAGGTTTCAAACAAATTTCATTTTACAACTTGACCTTTAAATATAATTACTCTTCTAAACATGATCTATCTCCAAAAATCTCATGAACCTTAGAGGCACAAGAATTCTTTTTTTAAAATTCATTTTAAAAATAAAAGAAGGAAAACATATTAACAGACATCCATTTACAAAATAGCATAGGAACAATACAAACAATACAGAGTTTCTCTTACCAACAATTTTCAACACCTAACTTTAAGCTACCCAATACAGTAACAACATCTTCCCTCAATTTGTAGATTTTATCCATTCCTATGTAAGGGGAATGAGTGGAACAGATAGACATCCAACAAATCTTGCCTACCACTTTCCATGTCACTGGATTGGAAAGGATGTTTTAGGTTACTTTCTCTAAAGTTTTAATAAGAGAAAGGACAATGAGTCGGGTATAGTTTCATGGAAATGTTTTTTGAAAGCAATCTTAACACAGTACACTGTTAAGCCTCATGACTGTCCAAACAATCTCTCCAAAGGCAGGATCCAGCTAATTTTTAGAAAATAAAAGATATTTGAACTTTTCCATGTTCTGGGTTATTTTTTAACCTCTTCAGCTAATCTTCCGTCAGTGTGTTAGGATTCTGCTAATGCTGATGGCTGTTCCTGCAGAACTAACTTTTGTGCTGACTCTGTGTAGACAAAGGGAAAGATCTTGCTTACATCCAGAGCCACTTTGTTGAAAGCAAGAAAATCAAAAATCCAAATGGCAATGAACACATTCCTATTTTTAAAAAAGGAAAATAAAATTATTTGTCTGTGAGATTACACAGTCACTTGGCAATTTCAATCTCATGAAACTTAATGACACAAAAAGAAATAAGGCCTCAAAGTCAACATCTCTCACAGATATTTTCTAAATGATAAACAGCTTTGTTTATACCATTTATACTAAATGTAGCTTGATGTATTATACTGTAATAAAATTCTCAAAACGCAAAATAAAGCAAGTAAGAGACTGAGAAAATGACAGAGACTGCAATATTAAATTTCCTATATGAGTACATGCACATAGGATGTGAAGAACCACTCAGACTGCTTCAAAGCTCAGGGGCATCTCAGGATACCTAAGATGTGACCCTGCTTGTCTAGCACAGGTGCACAGTGGGATGCAGTTATGCAACCAAAACTTAGCATGGGTAAACACACATGCACTGGCTGTGGCACTATGTAAGAATGTAAATATGGGATAGTGACCTGTATGAGAATTACATATTAGCCGGGCTTGGTGGCACACGCCTATAATCCCAGTACTCGAGACGCTGAGGCAGGAGGATCGTCGCGAGTTCGAGACCAGCCTGAGCTACAAAGTGAGCTCAAAGTCAGCCTGAACTGCATAGGGAGACCTTGCCTCAAAAAGACAAAAAAAAAAAAAAAAAAAAAATTACATATTAAAGACACTGGTGACTCTTGTACTCTTGAGCTGTTGTGCTCTGCTCTGCTCCATGGTGCCTGCTGTTGTTGTTGATGTACTGCACAAATGCATTCTGTAATCTGGAGACCTCATCCACAAAAAAATCTCCCCTGGGCCCCCCGAGTGGGCCGACATAAGTCCAAGGTGCTAACAGATAAATGGGTAAACATTTTCCTGGTGACAGGAACACATACGGAATAACCATGTAAAAGCAATTCGGCAATTTGTACCAAGAACTTCAAAGTCATGTGTCTTTTTCACCCATTTTTAATCTATTTCTACTAATCTCCTAAGAAGTTACCCTATGTGGGCAACAGACTACAATTAGTTTTAACACTGAAAAATGAGATAATCTGGGTGCTTTTTGAGAATAAGTATGTAAACTTTGGAATGCTCCCTTGTTGACTAATACATAGTTATTAGAATTATGTAACTATAAATAATTATAAATCTATAATTATGTTATAATGCTATGCGTGACTAAGATAATTATGACATGTAAAATACTTACTAGAATAGTATACACACATATAGTATACATACACCCAGGTATGTATGATTACTTTCTGGTTAAAACCACAGATAAATGCATAAAAAAAGTAAAATAATCTATCAAATGCTAACAATAGAAATATGGAAATAAAGAGATATAGACTATAGAAAATGTGAAAGATAATAGGAAGATAGATTTCCATTCAGAACTACACACAAATGGAGTGTAATTATATTTTGCTGTTATTTTCAAGTTACTGTTGTTCTATTTGTATTAGGAAAACTTTGAGAATATTTTACTACTTCTGTTTCTTTTCAAAGCCTTACCTTGGAGGAAGTGTTACAGTGGGCCCAATCTTTTGAAAATTTGATGACCACAAAATGTGAGTATTATGTATTGCCAGCTTTGAATAACTAGCCAGTTTTATTCTTAGTGGAGGAAGGGATGCTATATAAGGAATATAGGCTGCTCCTCTCACCACCTTCTAAATGGCAACTGACATAGTTAAAAAAAGAAAATTTGAAAATAGTTTGTCGTGTCAACCAGTGTTATTTTCTCTGGTGTTAATTAAAACAAAATTAGTCACTATGGATATTTATTCTTCACAAGTATATGTACAAAACCTCTTGGAAAATATGCTGAAATAGTAACACATACTGAAATACCGTGCATTCCCAGAGCCTCCTAAATTTAGTGTTTTTCAAAAAATTAACAGTATGCTGTTCTAGGTACTTTCAAAAGTAAGAATAAATTTGAGTCAATGTAGAACTCTTCAAAATTTATCAGTGTCTGATTTAAGGGGGATGCCATAAGATTCTGACTTTAAGTATCAACATTCAGATGCTATAAATGAAAAATCATAGCAATGGATATGAAAAGAGAAATTGTTAGGTTCAATGTGGAAAATATGAAGGATGCTGTGCCTTCAAGGGAAATGTGACTGCACTTGGAGTAGGAAACTAGCAGGTTGAAGAGAATGATAAATTCATAAAATACATTCAGGAAAAATATAGTGGATACTCAGAAAATTCTCCAACAGAATGTGGAAATTTTTTTAACAATGGATTTGGTTCCCTCAAATGTTTTTGTTTTTTGTTTTTTTTTTTAATTTTTGCCTATAGATCTGTCTTTTTTTAGGGTTCTTTTTGGGCTCTCTGTGAAGGCTTAATCTTTTGATGACACTGAGTGCAGAAGGGAGTTAGCTGTACTGCTTAGATGTCTCAATCAGTGGTTGTACAGTGCAGTTATGCTGCACAAGATATTCCTCTTGGCAGGTTGCTATGCTCTTATGTACTATTTTCTCTCCCTGAATAAAGGACCCTATTTGATATGGACGTACTGTCACTGCAAGACCCAAAGGGCAATGGTGGCAGATGTGGATCTTTGACTACTTCTACTGAAACACTTCAATCAGTAATTCTAGCATATGTACTGGTCCCTCACCTAGTACCAGGATTTCCACCTCCAAGCCTTGGGCAGCCCCTGAGCTCTCATCTTTTGTAACAGGCCTTTCTGATGAACATCAGAGTCATGGGAGATTTTGTGCAATTTAAACTATCCCTTTCACTTTTGTGGGTATTCTTCACGGTTTTGTAATCCAATTTGGTAATATGACTGTGAATTCTTTTTTAAAAATATCTTTCGGGTAAATCTTACAAAATTAAATGAAAGGAAAGTACAAAAGTGTGTATCTAGCCAGTGATGTTGATTATTCCTTTACTAATAGTTTGCATTTAGTCCCAACAGTATGTTTGCAACATTTAGAAATTAATCTTCCCTTTGCAGTGTCATACTCACTTTTCACTTGCAAAACGGAGATAATACCAGCTACCTGTTTAGCATTACTGTACAGATTGGATATGGAGCAGCTAGTTCAATCCCTGTTACAGATTAGCACATAAAACTTGATATTTTTATTAGTAATAAAGTATCTATCTCTAAATAGCAATATTTTTTCTTTGCTCCAAACCACAAATTTCAAAATCTTGGTATTCAGGACTCCCTACACTCTAATGCAACACATTTTCTAAAATTTATTTCCAGTTATGACCTTTCATATAATATGTACTCCACCAATCTGACTATTGCTCCATTTTGTACTTTCACAGCTATGAGTTTTCTGCCTGCAGGTTTTTGCATAAAGTCTTTTTGTGTCCCTCACCTATTTTGACCATCTTTGAAAAGAAAATTCAATTCCACTTGTTCCATTAAACCTTTGGAGATACTTTTCCTTCTTCTACTTTATTAGTATCATTATTTATTCTGCTATTAATTGTAGGTAGCTTGTGTAATGAGCTTTTTCCACAGCAACCTGATCACTGAATTATAAATTTCTTAAGAGTAGATTGCCTCCTGTTCACCTTTCATCCCCCTGGGAAACTAAAAACACAGTTTGTACCTAACGAGCATGCAGTAAATGTTCAGCGAATAAGTATAGCATAAGTATTAGTAAGGAAAATGAAAATACCCACATCGTATTATGTAGATTTCTGTGCCGGTGCTGGAGACCTCATAAGCAAGGTGAACAGTGTTAATTATTTGGTAAGGATCTCAAGTGGGTATTTGTCTGGGTAGAATTAGCAATTTAGAGGTCTGGTGTCATGAGAATAAGCAAAGTTCATAGAAAGGATGACAGCATGCAGAAACCATACTTATCTTTATAAAAGCTAGCAAAAACAGAGGTAAAAACTCGCCAGAAATCAACATAACATGAAGTTCTTTTTAAAATTGACAGCTTCATAACAGAAAAATGATAAAGCAAATCAATCTATGGCCCAGCCAACCAGAAAGATAATACTCTGAGTATAAACATAGTATGTTCCAGAGAATAAAAGTACGTTTACATTAAAAAGGACCCCAGTAAAAAGCAGAGGACTAATAATATGCAAAGGACTATTTTTACATAGATTAAAATACTGATCCTAAGAACATGTAGTACAGAAATCTACATGGGGAGGGAATATACTAGTCTGAGTCTCAGGGGATGAGTAGAAATTGGTTTAGATGTATTTTGGGGAGATATAAAGTAATAAATACCATACCCAACACAATACATTAAATTCAAGGTCTTTATGGAAAAGAAGAATCTAAGAAATTCATCAGTTTGAGAACAGAATTATGGAAAAATTCAGACATTAGTTACGAATTAAGAATATAAAACCTAAACATATTCTAGGTGTTATCCAATGATTCAGTTTTGACAAAAAATTCGGTTTTGACATTTTAAAATGTCAAGGATTTTTTTAAAGTGTGCATCTTTCAATGTACATTCAATAATTATGAATTAAGTACTTCTTATGTATCAGGTAATGTGTATGGAAAAAAAATCTCATGTACCAATGTGGCACATAAAATATCACTGAAGAAATGAGTTTTCAAAAACCTGAAAATCCCTTAGAAGAGAGCAAGAAAACTTCCATTTATGGTAGTAACATACAAAATACTCATTAGTTCAATATTTAGTACCACCCTCAATGAAATTCAAAGGCAAGCCAAATATACTTTTTAAAATGCAATGTAGTCTGATAAAAGTTTTCATCTAAGGCTGCATAAGGGTCTGACAAATGGAACAGAATAGAGAACTCAAAAACGAATACATTTTTATGGTTAATTGATTTTTTACAAAGGCAGCACCAGCATAAACTAAAGAAAGAGAAGTCTTCAATAAATGATGTTGGGAAACACTAAATAACCATATGATTTTAAGTCTAGAAGCACAGTTATATGTTGTTTCTGTGACCTGTTAAAGGTTGCCCCCTGCAGAGATGCAGAGCAGGAATACTGTTAAGCCATTCATGATAAACAAATGTCTAGATCAATCTTTTAACTTTGTTCAAAACCATCCTTAAATGTAGTGTATACTTTTCTCCCCAAGTTATCATATTCACATTCAGAAAATCTTGGATGTACTGAGTTGTACAGTGTAGGATGATCACACCACTGAAGGCAGTGAAGATTGCTCCATATTGAGGAATCATCTATGCTGTCTGATATATCTTTATCTGCAGCTTCCTGCACTACCATTCTAATCTCTGCTAACCACTGTGTTCATCAATCCTTCTATTACCATATTGCCTTGCTGAAGACCATTCAGTTTAGTACTTTTTGTCTTTTTAAATTTCTCACACACTTCACCTTGCTGGAGAAAAAGAAAACCCAGCCTTTATAGACATCATACAGTTAGTACATTTTTTTCCTCACTCTTATCAAACAAAAAGCAATAGCATGCCAAGTATAATCTGGTCTTTATTGTTTCTTGGTTGGGGAATGATTAGGGTCCATTTCTCCACTTTTCAAGACCTATAATGAGTCCCTTTAAAATTCAGAATGATTCAGGATACAAAAGCAGGACCTGATAGATAAGTGAAGCTTTTTCATACAAGATGGCTAATAAGTACACCTAAAAATTCATTGTTATGGCTTATATCTAGAAGTCACCCCCAAAGCCTCATGCACTCATAGGTGAGGCTTTCAGGAGTGACCAGATCATAGGTGTATGATAGTGGATTAGCCCCCAGATTGGTTTAGCATGGTTCGGAGTGTGGGTGATGCACTTACTGAAGAGAGAAGACCCACTCTGCATGTGGGCAGCACCAACCAATAGGCTTATAGACTGGATGAAATAAAAAAGAAAAGAAGGAAGTCTCATAACTTCCTGTCTGCCATGACATTAACCGGTTCTCCTCTGCCACACCCTTTGGCCATGGCGCCCTCCCATGGAGCCAGCAAACCATAGTGAAACCTCTATAAACTTGAGCTAAGATAAATCTTTCCTCCTTTAACTGCAAGTGTTGTGTATTTTGTCCCAACAACAAGAAAGTAACTGGGCTGGGGGTTTAGCTCAGCGGCACAGCACCTGCCTGGCAAGCACGAGGTCGTGAGTTGGATTCCCAGTACCGGAAAAAAAAAAAAAAAAAAAAGTGTTAGAAAAAGAAAGTAATTAAGACAGTCATAAACAAACAAACAAAAAAAAGGGTGAAAAGAAAACAAAAGAAAATGCAATAAATAAATATAACCAAAACAATCTTTAATATATAACAAAAATAAGTAAACTAACAATACAAAAGAAAAATGAACAAAAGATTTTATATTTACATAAAAATGAAATGAGTCTGTGAAAAAGAAAAATGTTCAAGAATTAATATTTTAAGCACAAATTTAAACAATTACAAGCCACTGGTATTAATCCATCCAATTAGAAAGGGTGGCATGAGTAGACACCGATACTGCTCTTAATGAAAAGTAATGAAGTCTTTCTGAAAGCAATTTTACCATATGCACACATTGAGAGTATCCAAAAATATTATATCTTCATTCTAGGGATTCCTTTAAATCTTTTTTTTTTTTTTTTTTTGGTTTTTCTCCGGTACCGGGAACTGAATTCAGGACCTTGCGCTTGCCAGGCAGGCGCTTTGCCGCTGAGCTAAATCCCCAGCCCCTCCTTTAAATCATTTTTAAGAAAACAATTACGGATGCAAGAATTTATAAATTAAAATATTCCAGGGTTTGATAATTCATTATAAAAAGAGGGGAGTAAGTTTAAAATGTTCAATACTTCTAAGATGGCAAAATATACAGTCAGCCATCTGTATCCACAGGTTCAGAAGCTGTGGGTTCAACTACTTTCATGCAGATCAAAAAATATTTGGAAAAAATTAGTCTATGCCAAACAGGTACAAATACTTTTCTTTGTCATTATTCCCTAATGACAGTGTGGTATAACAGTTATTTACACACTAATCTCATTGTATTAGGCATGCTTAGTAATTTAAAGATAGTTTAAAGTACACAGGAATATATGTTAGGTTATATGCAAATATTATGCCATTTTATGTGAGAGATTTGAGCATCCTTAAATTTTGGTACCCACGGGGTGGGATCTGGGAACCCACCTTTTGTGGATATGGTAGTGACTATACTATAATCTAGCCCTTCAGTGGACTATTGTGTGATCATTGAATATAAAAAGGAGAAAGTATTTAATACTTGATATTAAGTATGAAAGAACAGTAGTGATACAAAAATGTTCTCCTGTTATGTAATGTCAATAAGTAATTGGTGTTTACTGTGTCTCTAATTGGTGTCTCTGTGTGTAAATGAGCAAATGCTAGACATTGTGGTTTGTGTCTAGATGTCCCCTAAAAGCCTTATCCAGTCATAGAACTTTCTCAGAGGTGGCTGAAACTAGAGTGTGTGATGCTTGGATTAAGGGTATATGATTAATAAATCAGTCCACTGATTGGTTTGGCATAGCTCTTGCTAGGATTAAGGTTGTGAGTGCTATTCCCACTGTGGCAGGTAGCCTGCATATAACATAAGGGACAGAAAGAGTCTTATCTCCCCCCTTGCTGCTTGTGCTGTCTTCTACCACCATAAACTATTACCCCTCTTCCATGTGCCACCCTGCCTTGGAGCCAGCCAATTAGGACTGAAACTTCTACAAACTGTAAGCTAAATAAACCTTTGCCCCCTCAACTTTGGGTGTCTCAGTAACAAGAGAAAAGAAACTAAGACACTCGATAAATACATGATTATATATGATCAAAGAACTGAATGAGTAAGAGGAAATATAAGAAATTGTAAACAACAGATATTAATTTATTAGATGTTTTCTGTATTAAAAACAACTGAGTGCTTTAAGTTAGCTTTATAGTAATGTAGCAAAAAAAAGTAAGAGAAAAGTAAAATTTGAGTGATATCATAGAATCCAAACCAGAGAACATTAATGAAACAGATTTACTATAAAACTACACATAGATTCTGGTAGAATTATAGAATTCACTATCCCCAATGATAGAACGATTAGAAAATGGATTTAAAATTGGTTCCAATGCATCTTTAATGTATACTAATGGGCACAATACATCTCTGAAGTTTAATGCATAGTGTACAATTTGTTGCCTTGCAGAAGACACGATCTTGCAATTAGATAAGTCCTTATTTTGACTCAGCCAAAAGAAATCCCACATGTTCCTTCTAAATCAGGAATACTGGCATGTGTCATCTAGCATGTCATAGAAATGCTAATTTGTGACTAGTCTAAAAGAACAAGCTTGCAATTACAAAGGCATCATTCTCATTCTTCAAGGAAAAGGTACACACTTATATGATTTAAGCCTATCTCTTCTATCCACTCAACATAAATGAGCAATTCTGCTATTTGTCCTTTATTTGTTCCTTTCAGGCAGAATCATGATCTCTTGAGCATAATGCTCAGGAATGAGTATCCCTAAAACTTCACAACAGGCTGCCATGGTGTCTATTGTCTGATTTTGGAAAGATTTTCCACCTTGTAATTCCCTTGATGCACGCACCAATAGAAATTCTAAACTTAGTAGTTCAATTCTGACTCGTGTTTAAGATTCCTGAAACAGTTTTATACATATTCACTTTCAGCTGCTTGCTTAATTTATAGTGTACTCTGACAAAAAAAAAAGAGAATATATACAGAATTCTGCAAAACACACCAATCAGTTAATTCTACTCATTCTATGCACCAAAATCATATCTGAAATATCAGACAGGTTTCAATGATCCAGGTCAATTTTTGCAAAGTTTTATTATATACCAGCAAATGACATGAAAATCCCAGTGACTTACAGAAAGAAAGGTTTATTTCTCATTCATCAAACAAGACAATTGGAGTAAGCTCTAGCTCCATTCTATGTCCTTATTCTGGACACTAGGCTAAAGGAGCAGTTGTTTTTTTCTAAAATATATTCTCCTCTTGGTGAAGGATGAAGAGAACTACATGAAGGTTCTTAATGTACTTTCTTAGATCTGTGCATGGAGCTTTTGCATGCATATCATTGACTAGCAAAAGCCCAATGGCCAATGCATATATAAATGAGACAAGGAAATATAATCCTCATAGGAAAAGGCCTGGGAATAACTAAGAGTAGTGCTACAAGCTACCATATCAAGTATCTGTGCTATACTATATTTTATATCATATATGCACACATGTATAGAACACTATAACTTTCAAAATATAAAAAATATGAATAGCAATACAGAGATAACCTCATTAGCAAAGGACTCGAGTATGTCAAGAATTGTGGAACCATTAGGCCAGCACAGAACAGAAGCCAGGATACTTATATTTCTCTATCAGGAGAGAAGTTAAAGAAGGCAGGAATACATGCAAGTAAGTTCTGGAATGAGAATCTATAAACATTTGATAAACAATTAAACTAAATATAAAACAGAAACACAAATTCAGCACACTACAATCTGGAATAGAATATTGGCTTCCAGATTATCTTCCCACTGCCACCCACTCATCCAGTTAACCCATCCAGGCAATGTATCACATGCCATGATCTGCAGGTTTAGCTAGACACCTCTTTTGTTGTTGGTGTCCTTGTTCAACAGCTCATTTCTTGATTTTGAGCTCTTTATTTTCTACTCCTAGTGAAGCATTTCATCAAAATTCCTCTGAGTATAAACTATATAAACTTTGCATTTTAATAGAATTGTTTCTTTAAGTACATAATGAAAAATACTGACTTTCAACATCAGTTGGTAAATGACTTTTTATACTTTGCTTTGCCTACCTATTCAATTTTTCTAATAAGAGCACCAATTGCTATATCCGTGTTCTCTGCTCCCAGCTCTTTGTGCCTATCGTGAGGCAAGTACAACTTAAGTCACCTTGGAATAGAAATAAACTTCTTATTTGAAATCTAAATTATAATCCTCAGTTGGTAGAAATATCTAATCTATGTTATTTCCTGCATTACGTTTCTAAACACGCTTTATCCCCCATCTATTTCATTCTTTCACACCAGTGGTGTTTCTGTTAAGCCACTGGCCACCCAAAGTTGCTCTAAGTTTGTATATTGCAAGGATACCATATTGCTTCCAGATTACCAGCACTGCCCAACCTAATGCCTCCTTATAAGGAATCTACTGCTATTTGAGTTCTTTTCTTGAATATAAAATATTATAATTGTTATCTTTATTCCTATATCACTGCTAACAGTCTGTAGAAACTAAGAAGTATGACTTTCTCAAAGTCAGATACTTTCTTTATCTACTCTCTCATGTGAAGATCCAGGAAAATGTGGTTTTACTCATTTCCATTTCATCTGATTACTATTTTTTAGCAGCTAATTACACTGATCAAGAATTTATTAACAAATATCCTATGTTTTAGAGTTGATGGATATGTTTGATTATTGTGATAATTTCATAGGTATATATTACTTACAAATGCATCAAGTTATATACATCAAATTATGTATTGCTTTTCATAAAAGAAAAATTCTATGCTAACAATTATTCTGGAAGTAGTCACATATTCAGTGTGACTATACACACACTTCTATTAAATCATTGAAAACTATTTTGTCATTTTTTCATTCATCAATTCAATATCTCAGATATGCTAGGAGAATTTATAGTCACTGAGAGAAGTTTAAAACTTATTTCAGATAATTCATCTTGAACCTTGAGAATATTTGGTCTTCCCAAAGATTGTGTTAATGTGCTAAATTTATGAAAACTCACCTAATTTTCTCCTTCAAACACAAGTTCCTACAAAACTGTGTGTAACTTAGCAAAGCTGTTCCCACCTTTGTCCTTATCTGTCCACTTCAGAAAGATAGTTCAAGACCAGAGCTGAGGATACCCATCTCAGCATCGAGTGTCATTTGATGAGTATTCTCAGCATAACCACTGTCTTATAATAGATTCTCAGATAATTTCAAGCAGCTCTTCTGAATTCATTTTCTTACCTGGTCTCTATTTCTGCTTCAAAACATAAACCATGAACATGAAGTTCAGTGTTTCATTTGTCTGTATCCCTCTGACCTGAATGAACCCCACGAAGCACTCCAAGCTAATCAGAGTACCATTCCTACATGGCTTCCCAGTGTCCTTCCAAACTACACCTGTCTGTTTAGGGTCTAAACTGTACTTTCATCCACCAGTTTGATGTGAGATCTTTGATTTTGTTTAAGTAATTCCATGATCAGAGCTTTGTCTACCTGTCCAGTGTAATTCTTTTTTCTATATCCTTGTGCTATCTCTTGTCCTATCGGTAATAGGACCATCTACACTGGTAATAGGACCATCTACACTGGTAATCAGACATCCACTGATGAGTATTTCCCAAATGAATGAGTGAGAATAAAGGGATAACCTCATCAGTGACTGGTATTGACTACAGATGTATTGATCAAAGTGTGTGATAGACATATATACAATATTCATTTATTAAATGATTGGGAACTTTTATTTAGACTTGTGTGAAACAGCATTAAATATTGCTCACATTTTTGATAATTTTAACTGTTGAAAATAAATTGATTTCTCTCCCTTTAGATGGTCCAGTAGTCTATGCAGCATATTTAAAAATGGAGCACAGTGATGAGAACATTAAATTCTGGATGGCATGTGAAACCTATAAGAAAACTGCCTCACGGTGGAGCAGAATTTCTAGAGCAAAGAAGCTTTATAAGGTCTATATCCAGCCACAGTCCCCTAGAGAGGTAATAATCATGGGAAATGGAAATCAGTCCAACTGTTGGAGGGCACTAATGTGTCAAATATTCATACATGCCAGTCACTTTACATCTCAGCATCTCCTAAAATGCTATAAAATTCAGTGTTGCTAACATTTTGCAGATGAGAAATTTGAGAACCTGAGAAGTTAACTAACACCCAGTATCACATAGCTGTTTAGTAGTAACATTAGGATTTAAAGTTGGCTATTGGGCTCCAACATCTTTCCCCATTAAATTATCTTAATCCCCAGTCCTAGAAAGGTTATGAAGGAAAAAGGCAATACTGAGAACGGTTGTTGCCAGCATAAAGTAGGAATGCCATAAATAGTCATGCACACATCACCAGAGGTGCTGGGCATTCGGCCACCACAGCCTGCCCCAGAGATTAACTGCTCACCTTAGTATAAAGCTAGCAGACATCCAGCGTTACTGCCAGAGATATCCAACTACCTAAAGAAAGTAGTCGCAAATGAAGGAGATTCAGCAACACTCCCAGAAGAGAAAAAGTAAAGAATGCAAAGTCCTGTTAAGGGGGGATAGAGGATAATACATAAGATTACTATCACTAAAGGTTGTCAAATATGACTGACTTATTCCCCAAAACTCTTACATGGAAAATTTTGGGTTCACTCAAATAACCACTTCTCCCCTTTATTTCTTCACTTCTCACTTTCTTCCCATTTCTGGCCATATTCAGAGTTGTCACTATTAAGAAAGATAAGTTTATAAATAGCACCAAGTTCCCCTCTCCTTAAAAAGAGACTTTCATTCCGCAAACTTCCCTGTTTGCAGACTACCAGTAACAAACTACTTCCATCTGCCTGAGTGCGCAATGGTTTCTGAGACTTCCCTGGTCTAGGACCTTGAGATTTCTGTATTCCTCTAGGATGTGACAATGGATACAGTATTCACTTTAAAAAAGATTTATAAGTCTTCTTACATAACTACGGAAACAGCAAACTCCTATTTCACTGAAGAGCAAGGGGAATAAATTAAGCTTTTCTATTATATGTAACTATTTTCAATATTGCTTTCTTATGCTCTACATGTAATTTCACTTTTCAGATTAATATTGACAGTTCTACAAGAGAAACTATCATCAAGAACATTCAAGAACCTACTCAAACATGTTTTGAAGAGGCTCAAAAAATAGTGTATATGCATATGGAGATGGATTCCTATCCCAGATTTCTGAAGTCAGAAATGTACCAGAAACTTTTGAAAACTATTCAGTCCAACAATTCCTGACTACCACCCAAATCTTTAAATTGAAGATGGTATCTTGTAAATACTGACTTTGGTCTTTTAATTTAGAAAAACAGAAAATCAAAAGTAAGTAGGAATAAAACAGAAATCAAGCTATAAATTGATTTCTACTCCCCAAAGGGACACAGATTCCAAAAACAACTCTAAAACTCCTATAAATAACACAAATATAGCATATCTATATAGCTCAGCTAATATATAAGTAAAAGGAAGATCTTTCTTCATGACACAAATATGTTTTCTATAATAGTCAACTGTTTTCTTATTAATGTTTCTTAATAGCTGTTTTCTGACGAGATCAGGCATGTTCAGGATGGTATGGTCGTAAACAATAGCTGTTTTCTTATTAACAAAATTTTGTTATAATGATATGACAGAAAATTATTCCTTTAAAAAATTTATCTCTGTGAATCATTTCTCTAGCATGAATGTATTCTACAAGTAGAGTGTTCTTAATAACTTGAATTAGTAAACAATAATACAAAAAGTATACTTATCATGAGCAATATTAAAAAGGTATATTCTTGAGAAATAGTCTATCAGTAAAATTTTCCTAATATGTCCATAATTAACCTTCTAGATCACATATATTTTCTACACATAAAACTTTGTGATGATTCTAAGCTCTTAAAAATGTATAGTTTTTTTGCTTTATTGTTGCACTTGCATTTCTTTAAGGTTAGAAACTTTACTTCCTATGTTTTGAGTTTTTTCCTATAACATGAATTTATTGTGGTTTCGGTAATCAATAAATCTAAATATAAACTTATAAGGTATAAATATATGTATTTTTCAAAGACATAGTAAAAACACTACTCCATACAAATTTTTAAAAGCCTAAAGTTGATATGATGTGAGAATATACACTTTTAATTTCCATAGTTTTAATGGAAAAGTAGGCAATATAATACATTCTCTGATGCTAACTTACTGTCACCTAAAACACCATTAAAGCGTGCAGATTCAACAGGGACATTCAGAAGCTCAACATAACACAAGTGTAAAAGCTAACCTGCTATTTTTCCTACTTAATTTGTTTTAAAACTTCAAACCTCTAGTCCCAAAAAGGGGGATATTAAAAATGATTTTTTTCCTGGGGGATTATTTTTTAACTAATGTTTGCTTTTGGTTTTGAAAAGTAGCTTAAAATAGGCTTGATTCTTATATTGAAACAAAGCTCTTCCTCTCTTCTAGTGAATTACTAATTCTCATACCATTTTATTCCATGAATTATTTTTTCATGCTAAGAAGTATTTTCATGCTTTATTCCATGCTAGGAAGGGGAAAGTCACTAAATCACCCTACTTCCAATCCTAAATCCAAAGATTTCTACCAAAAAAGTAAATGAATAATAAAATCACCACTGATACAGGAAAAACAAAAACAAGACACTTTGATTTTACACAATGGAAAGAGGGCTAAATTCATTGTTAACAATGTTGGCTATAAGTTCTGGATATTCCAGGTTAATTATACAAATCATCCAGCTCTGAGTAAACTACAGAAATCTGTAATAATTCTTAGTCTCTCTGTTCTTCAGTTTCCTCATATTTAAAACGAGTTGATGAGAATAGATAATACATGCCTTAATTCCTTTCCAGTTCAAAAATTCAAATTACTTTCAGTGCTTTTAAGTACCATTTCCATAACAGTATATTATCTGTCTTCTGATTTTGTACATTTAATAGCATGACTTGTCCTCAAAACTGAATTTTTGAGTCACTCTTCTAAGATCATACATAGATGTTTGTAAATCATGAGCAACCTCACTTATATAATCCCATCCACCAGTCACTTGTCCCAAACCTCCACAAACCATTCACTGGTGAATCTGTATTTGAGCTTCAAGAAAAACTCTCCAGGATTGTGTAAAACAGTATGGAGTTTCCTGAAAAAGCAAAAATAAAACCATCATATTATCTATCACTCCAAATCTGGATTAACTGTTCTGAGATTGGAAACAGGATCTCAAAGAGACACATATACTCTGATCTTCTCAGCACTATTATTTATAATAACCAAAATATGGAAACAACACAAAGGTCCTTCAATAAGTGGATAAAAAAAATGTGAGTTACACACACATATAAATACACAAAAATACAAACTGAGTGTTCCCTATTCAAAATGTGAGGAGCCAGAAGTGTTTCAGATTTCAGATTAAATTTTATTTTGGAATATTTGCATATACATTATGAGATATCTTGGGTCTAAAATCCAATATGAAACATGGAATTCATTTGTTTCATATATACCTGAAATACATAACTGAAGGTAATTTATACAATATATTTAGTGTACCTAAATTTTGATATTTGACTATGGCCTCTAACATTAGGTTAGGTGTGGAATTTTGTGACATTATGTTAGTGTTCAAAAAGTTTCAGATTTTGCAGCATTTCAGGTTTGGATTTTTCAATTACAGATCCTCAACCTGTATTTGAAAACCTATTTTTGCCCAGTGGAGGGAGCTAAGCCAAATAAATAAGAAACAGAAAGAGAAATACTGCCAAATCTCATTTAAACGTAGAATCTGAAATAGTCAAATTCATAAAAGAAGATAATACAATAGTGATTTCCAGGGGCTGAGGAAAGACAAAGGAGATGTCAAAAAGTGCAAAGTTTCAGTTATACAGGGTAAATAAATTCTGGAGAGTTGTACACAGATTTATAAAACAGTTAACGATACTGTTTTATATCTTTGACATTTGCCAATAAGATAAATCTCAGACAGTCTGACCATATAGATATATGTATTTGTATGCACATACCTATAAATGGTAACTTTATAGGTATAGTAATATATAAGTTAATTAAATGAATTGTGACTATTTCACAATGTACCCATGTATGTGTACAAATGAATCAAAAGTTCAAATTGTATACTTTTAATGTATACAATTTTACATCAATGGTATCTTAATAAAGCTGTTTTAAAACATAGATTATCCTATCAAGTTAAATGAGAAACTTCAAAGGAATAAAATAATTTTCTTCACTATATACATTACACTTAAAATTTGAAGATAATATGTATAGTAATAGATAGTGCATGATTCACCTTGAATGGAGGCAAGTAGAGTGTTGTGAAGATCCTTAGGGCAATGGGTGATGATGTGCATTGTCATGGAGGTCAGGCAGTAACAGTAGACTATAAATTTCCTTCGAGGGAAGCCATGTTTTATACATAGAATGTGCTCCACTCAAAAGAAAATGAATGACTCAATAACAAATCACTCCGTTTAGTCACCAATGAGAAATGAATAAATCTAGTGTCAAATCTCCTTTACAGTATAACTTAGCAACTTAAAAGCAATTCCTAAATTGGATAAAAAAAAATACAAGTAATTTAAAAGGCAATTTGTACTTTGCGCATAAAATATAAGACTTCAGACCTCCATGTACGTAAAATTAAACTACTATGGCTGGAACTTGAATAATTAAGCAAATCCTCTACTTGATGCATAGAAGACTAGACAAACAGAAGTGCAATTTTATTAAATATTGGTGACATGGGAACGAGTGAGGCGACACTAGACAAGTGAAGACAAAAAAATGTGTGTTATGTGTGTTTGGCCAGTCTAAGGGAGGGTAGGTTTTAAAGCAATACTCAGTCATCCTATCAATGAAACCGTAATCACTCTGGTAAACTTTATTATTAATACATATTACATTTTCTCTTTTTTAACTTACAGTTTCTTTTTCAGTGAAAAAGTCTCTGGGCCTTGTTCTCAATGTCAGAATAAATGTGTGTGCAAACTTTTTTTTCAAAGAAATTTCTAAAACTGAGCTTCTCTATGTACAGTTAGCTTTTATTGAGCATTTCTTTTTTTTTTCTTTCTTTTTTTAAGAGTAGGAAATTTCACTGGGGGAGGGGCAGCTCCTAAGAGAGAGGGGAGGGGCCCCAGAAAGTGGTAGCCCTGAGCATATCTATCAACTGCAGAAGGACTGCTCTTGGCTTTCCTGTCAAAGCAGCTTCTCAGCATTTGTCAGAATATTCCAGAGAAAAGGATTCATGCCGTTTTGACTTGCCTTGTTCAGCAACTAACACTGAATGAATGTCCGTACACATGGATATATGTTCCATGTTTTTGATGATGAACAGAATAACTGAAATATTTGAAATTATTTTTCAAGAACAATATCATTTTCTTGAACAAATTTTATTCAAGACATTTAATTTTACAGTAAAATTGTTTCTCCAGTCTCTAATTTGACTGAAATAGTATTATTACTTTAAACTGCATATAATCTCATGATGTATGATATGAAAGTGAATATTAACTTGTATTCTCATAAAAGGCAAAATATTATTAAAACAAAAAATATCTAGAGTACTTTTCCAAGAAAGAAAAATAGCCACAAAAGAGAATATTTTCCTAAAAAATAAAATGGTTGATGATGACAGACTTTAGTTGTGTAACGTTATCACAGTAGTCTGATTTTATCTAAATGATTAGATTTTATTTATTTTCTTTTAAAAATACCACTATGATGATGCAGCTTGAGTTTTAGAGATTGAACTTGATGATGATTTCTATCTACTGTAAATAATAAAAAGTTTACATGTTTAAAACAGTCTCATCTCACTGCATCAGTGAAGGAGTAGGCAAGTAGGAAATGTTAAATATACATGGCTATTATATATGTTTTAAGAAGTTTCAAAGTACCTCGGGCCCTTCTCACTCAATATACACAAAATAGTTAAATTCTGACATATTAGTAAACAGAATCAGAATAATTAGCACTGTTTACTACGTACACATATGTCTCTCCTTGAATGGGTGCTTATTCTCCCCCAAAGAGTAAGTCTAGCATCTTCAGTTTTGCTTATTCTCTGTTTTTTTCTTCAAAACACAGTCTCTGCTCAGTTCTGTTAGCACCTTCACGTCACAATGGATAAACAAAGTGCCATATAGTGTCATAAACCAAAAAGCTTTGGATAATGAACAAAGCAACTGGGTTAAAGCCTCATCACTTACCTGATGTCCTTGAAACTTTAGTATCAGTAGACTTTACTTTCTCATCCTGAAATAAAATATTGAGTAAGCCAAATGCTCTGCATGTCCTACTACTAATTGATCATCATTTTCTTTCTATAAGTAGCTTGGGCTAATTTTGAATAATTTATGTAAAAATTAAGGTTCTCTTGAAGAGGTAGATAATGACCTACTTATTTTGCATTTAGCATGAGTTAAGGAAGTTCTTTTGCAATGTTTGATTCAACAACAGAGACTATAACATTAAATTTCTACATTTTTTCTTAAGTACTATCTATCCAAAAATTCTACATAGAAGTATATGTGTTTCATTTTGCTTATACTTAAAATATTTTCACATCATTAGTATTCTGAGTACTGCTCATTTTTCTCAGACTTTTTAAATTAATAAATATTTGTGTTTTATTAAAACTATTCAAAATTGGTTTTTATCCAATGATTACATGGACATATTCATATTAATGCATTTTGTCGTATTTGCTTTATCCTAATAGTCTGACATTCATTCATTTTAAAACTTGACTTCAGAGACCAGAATTTAAATGTATTTATAACTTTTTTCTATTTTTAGATATATAGTTTTAAACTCTAGGGATGTGTGAGAGGAGCTTTCATTGTTTCTGCATAAAAATAAAATCTTCAAAAGAAGATAACAATAAAGATTTGTATAATTCAAATTCAAGCATCTTGGCAGATGTGAACATTTTCTTGTTTATAATTCACCAGTCACACTAT